AGAAAATATGACAACATTTTGTTGTGATAAATGTAAATGGCTTAAAAACACAAATTTAGAATAGCTTAAAAAAATGACCCAACTCTATGTAGTCTACAGAAAGCTCCAAATACAGCAATATAGGTAGTCTGTAAGTAGATCTAGAAAAAGATATGATGTAACTAAAAATTAACAGGAGGCAGGAATTAGTATGTTAATATCAGAGTAGACTTCAGAACAAAGAAAATATATTTGTCATTATATATTGTAAACCAGTGAGGGCAAAGGGAGGTAAAATTTCTGCACATCACTCAAACTAATAAAGTGAACCCAATTTTATATGGATTCCTTCATTTCCACAGTGTAATTATATATAATGACAAATAGGTCTGTCCAACTAGAAGTCAGAATATATACCAAACAGTTGCACAATATGTGAAACAAAAATTAAAAACTAAAAAAGACAAGTCTACATTATAATTGATAACTTTACAGCCATCACAACAATTTATAGGAAATTAGAAATAAGGGAGAATGTAGAAAAAATTAACATTATCAACCAACAGAATCAAATTAACATTTACAGAACATTCCACCCAACAAGAGCATCCAAGTGTATTCTTTTAAAATACCCACTGAATGTAAGACAGTATTATCAGCTATCAAATAAACCTCAACAAACTTATAATACTTGAAATTATACAGTGAGTTTTCTGACCACAATGCAAAGTAGAAATGAATAATGGAAAACTAATAGGGAAGTCTTTAAACACTTAGAAATGAAGTGACATATTCAAATGATTTGTGAAAGAAAAAGGAAATTTTAATGCAGAACATTTTGTGACATTACATTTCAAAAACCATATTGACTGAAAATGAAAGTGTAACATAAAAATTTGGGGGACAAGACAAAGCAATATGAGAGGAAAATTAATAGCACTAAATGACTGAATTAGGAAAAGGGATATAACAAGTCAATAATCTGATCTCCCACTTCAAGAATCTGTAAGAAGTTTATCAAAAATAAAATCAAAGCAAGCTGAAGGAAGGAAATAATAAAAATAAGAACAGAAATCAATAAAAGTGAAAACAAAAAAGAATCAAAAGCTGGTTCTTTTAAAAGATTAATAAAATAGAAAAACCTCTAGGAAGACTGCCCCCCCCCCCGAAAAAGGCAAGATACAAATTATCCCCCTCAAGAATGAAACATAGTATCGTTCACGATCTTGCAGACATTAAAAGGAATACGATAATCCTACAAATAATTTTACTGATATAAATTTGATAATGTAGATGAATTGGTAGGCAGTAAGAAGTAATTTGAAAAATGGTAGGCAGTAAGAAGTAATTTGAAAAAGGCCTATAACTGGTTTAAGGTAATTAAATTTATGTGCGTGTGTGTGCTTATTTATTTATTTATTTTGGGTGCTAGGAAATCTAAGCCAGGGCCTTATGCATGCTAAGTGTGGGCTTTTCTAATGAGGTATACCTCCAGTCCTTTGAATTTATAATTTAAAAAATTCCCAGAGGGCTGGGAATATAGCTGAGTGGTAGAGCACTTTCCTAGCATAGGCAAGTCCCTGGTTCAATCCCCAGTACTACAAAAGTAAAATAACAGACCCAGAAAGAATGATTTCGTTGGATAATTCTGCTAAGTGTTTAAAGAAAAACTAAAACTGGGGATGGGGCTATAGCTCAGTGGTAAAGTGCTTGCCTTGCATGTGTGAGGCATGGGTTTGATCCTCAGCACCACGTGAAAATAAACATTCTGTATCTTCATCTACAACTAAATAAATATTTAAAAAAGAGAAAAGAAAGAAAAACCAAAACCAATTCTACATAATGTTTTCTAGAAAACAGAAGAAGACAGATGTTACCACTGGAGGAAACTAAGTGAAGGGTACACGGGATCACTAATACCTTCAGTATTTCCTTACATGTGAACCTATTGTTTATCTGAATAGAAAAGGTTGAATTAAAAGAGTAACAGAGGTGAGAAGATATTTTGTGTAGAACAAATATAAGAATGTTAACATTTTCATTTTGGAAATAGTAAAAGCCAGAAGAAAGTATATCAATATGCATTTATTATATTTTAAATACTGAAAGATAAAGAATGCTAGGCAGTTTGATTCCAGAGCCTGTATGTTTATCCATTTCTCTGTGCTACATCATAAGGGTAATAAAAACAAAGATGCAGCAATTAGATGCACTACTGTTCTCTCTGTATGCCTCAGGGCAGTAGAGTGATGCTACCAAACTATGAAATGGAAACTAACCACTCTTTTTAGTCTCTGATCGCTTTCTATCCATTTCCTGTACTTAAACAACTTTTGGAAAAGTAAAATTGGTTGATACATTGTCTTATCTGTCAAGCAAGTTGTTACAAGTAAAGGAATGTAGGCAACTGCAACATAGGCAGATAAATATCATAGAAGAGAAATTTAGAGAAAGCCTTTTGGAAATTTAGAGAAAGATTTGAGAGTACAACAAATAGATGACATCAAGGAAAATGACATATGAATCTGATTAAGAGTGGAAGCAAAGGAAAGAAGTGAGGATGTGTCCAAGATCTGTAGTAAGATGATGACACAGATTGGTGTCATGGCAGTGATTTAATAGAATAGGTTCTGCCAGTGCAGAGGTTTTGTGTTTGCTTTTCTGCTAGGTTGTATCCTTATTAGCTAAAACAGTGTCTGGTACATACTAAGACTCAGTAAATATTTATCATGTGAATGAATAAGTAAATACAGCAGTTAGAAGGCAGTGATCACCAGTTTTGGTTAAGAGTGATTTGATAGTGAATTCCATTTTGGGAATTATAAATGTGGAATCTAATCACAACTCTACCATTATCTAGCTGTCATCTAGTCTTACTGCTGCACCAGTCACTTCAGCTATGACACTCAAAACTTGTGGAGAAAACAATATAGGATGTGTGCTGGTTGAGAACTTTAACTTTGTGATCCTATTTCTAAAATAAGGGCTACAAGAAAAATTAGTGTTACTGTTGTTTTTATTGTAGAGTGCTTAATTTTGTGCTTGATCTATAGTAAGTACTCAGTTAAGGGGCACCCTTGCCTGAATCTGGGTTATATATTAATTCCTAATCTAAATGAGCTTACATACCTTTAATAATAGCATATACTGTATTTAGAGCTGGGTTTGTAGCTCAAAGATAGAGAGCATTCACCGATGTGCATAAGGCCCTGGGTTCATCCTCCAGCATAGCCAAACAAAACAAAAAACCCCTTGTGTTTGAGTTACCCCATGCAAAAGCTAAATAGCATTTTAAAGATCATCCAGCCCAAGCCCTTCATTTAAACTGAGAACAGAATAAAAATATGACTTGCATAGTCACACAGCTATCTGAAGAAAAAAGTGGAGGAAAAAAGTAGTCAAGGACCAAACCCTGAGGGTAATGGTTACATGTTGACATGTTTTCAATAATTATAAAGTGGTATTATTTATAATTTTGAATTTAAAGCATGGGAAGAAAAATAAGAGAGAAACACTAATGAGTTGGTTTTTGAGGGGTTAGCTCTGAATGCTACAGGTACTAGGTAAAATTTTATTTTCTGGGAAAACCAAATAAAACATCTGCTACTGGATATAGCTCTACCTTTATTTTCCCTCAACATCTTTTAATTCAGCATGTCCCAAATCAAACTTGCAGTCACTATAAGGTAAAACTAAAAAGGATCTTAAGAGTTGTCTGTAGTTGTCTTAAGAGTTGTCATTTTGCAGATGAAGATCCAGTCCTTGGGATGGAGATCTCTTACTTCTTAGACACATTGATAACTCTGTAAGCAACCAATTAGTTGTCTCGGACCATTTTTGCCTAGATCCTAGAGTATTCCTTTAGGGTCCTTTTGGCTTAGAGTGAGCCTTCACAGTTCATCCTGGCTACAAATAGCCTCTGGTCTTGTTTTGTTTTGTTTTGGTGGTGCTGAGGATTGAACCCATGGCCTTGTGCACGCAAGGCAAGCACTTTGTCAACTGAGCTAAATCCCTGGTCCTCTAGACTTGTTTAGAGCAGCAGATTACATTTTTTTTTTTAAACAGCTGAGTTCTCTGCTCATGTTGAATCATATGAGGCAACCCAGTATATGAAAAGAAACTAAAAAGAGTAGTTGATAGGGCTGGGGTTGTAGCTCAGTAGTAGAGTACTTGCATACCATGTATAGGATCTAGGTTAGATCCTCAGTGCTGCAAAAACAAACAAAACCCCTGATGATTAACAACAGAGATTTGATGGTGATTGAGATGTAGATAGTTGGAGAGATCACGAAATGGAAAGAATGTGTTCCATCCTGATCGCTTGGTCCTTGATCTCCAGAGATGAGGAGGCTCTAAAATGTCAGACATTAGGAAGCCACTTAAAATCCACTGACTTGTAGACCCAAGGGGTCTAGCAATTGTTGAGTGACAAGATCACTATTATGTCTGCTCTACAAGTTCTTATGTGACTTTAATTCATATCCTGGAGTAACAGAATTAAGAAGTAAGCCATCATTACAACTAGGATTTAAATAAACTCTCAACTATTATTTTAAAACTTTCATTGATCACATTTGTATTTATTTATACAGAAAGCAGCTTTTGTGTGAATTAATTGTACTAATATTAACATAACCTAAGAATTACTGTCTTGAACCTTAGGAATAGTCAGTGCACAAACCCCTATCATGTGACTTTTAAAACACTTGACATGTTTTCAATAATTATAAAGTGGTATTATTTATAATTTTGAATTTTAGTCAGCAACTGATTAAGCCCTGTACTAGCATCCTGGGAGGAAAGAGGAAAAATAGGACAAAGTCCTTGCCCTCAAATTTGAGTCATGCTGAGTACAGAATGAAGAACGTGACATTTTAGGTTTTTTTTTCTTTTAACTTCATTTCTCCACCTGAGTTTCACATTGTGCAGTTTTTAATTTTAATTTACTGCCTTATAAAGCATGTTCATGACTAAAAATTCAATAATTTAAGCTTGTATGCTTTCTTTCAAATTATTATTAGATTGCAAGACTGGAGAAAGATAAAGAAGAACTACATAACCAGCTGTTTAGCGTTGATCTTACAAGAGACACCAAACGAATGGAGCAACTTGTACGAGAAAAAGTCCATTTGTCTCAGAAATTAAAAGGTTTAGAGGCTGAAGTAGCAGAATTAAGGGCTGAAAAAGAGAATTCTGGTGCTCAGATAGAAAATGTCCAAAGAATACAGGTGCGACAGTTGGCTGAGATGCAGGCTACAGTTAGGTCTCTGGAGGTAAGGTTTTAATTGCTTCCCGGTAGAGTATGGCATAGTTTTTAAAAGTGCAGTTGACAAGCCTTTGAGTTTTAGAGCATAGATGTGTGCTCACCAGTCTAATGCTGACGCATTTGTGGAATCCCAAGAGTATGTGTTCTTTCTGTAAAGAATAAAGCTATTGATTCATAAGCAATAGCTGTGCTGCCACATTTACAAAGGGATATTTATTCTTGGGGAGTCTTAACACCTATTTGAAATGACATAACTCTTATAATGCCACAGTGCAAATGTGCAAAGTCTCCCCAAATTTATTCAACTTTCTCAAGGCTAAAATCGTCTCAAACCAGAAAGAAAAATTTCTTTTGAGTTTATAAATTCCTTACCCTGGAATTTGAAATCTTAAGATCATAATTCTTATTCGAGCAGAATACCATACTTGCATATCTTAAGACAGCTCTGGCCAGAGTAATAAAATTTAACTTGTCTACTAATATATATAAGTCTTTACTAAATTATTTCTTAGTTCATTAGAGAAAGAAGTGTTGGCAGTCAGTTGGTACTTTTGGAGGTATTACCTTATGAAAACTCTTGGTTTCCATCATATTCAGACACTCTTACTTCTCCTAGTATTAGATGCCGGAAGTGTAGCAAAGATATAATTTAACATTTTGATATAACGTGTACAGTCCCAATGTTCCTCCCCTTTGGAATAGTTGTGAAATGATTTGGGTTGGAGGGAAATTATCAGATACCTGGTTTGCAGTTAAAAATCCAAAATCTAAATCGAAAATGGTGATTCCCCTGACCCCACCCTCTCCCCTTAACAGCCAGCAAGCTGTTACAAGGAGTATATTGTTATATTTAGAAGTCACTTTTGGTTTTTGGATAAAGCCTCTGTCAGTATTTGCTGGTCTCCTGAATTAAGGCTATCAGTATTATTGAACTTAGACATGAGGCAGTTCAGCGTGAAATTATTTATGTTGCCATTCTTCTTCTTTAACATATTTACACAGTGACAGAATTAAGTAGGACAATTGCATTTGAATGTAGTAGATGGTCCCAGTATGAATCTTTTCATCAAGGTCATCAATGAAATGAGTATTTTCAGAGCAAGTTGAATGATGACAAAAGATGGATTCTTTGGTGACATTTTCAGAAGAACCTGTGTTTAATTTTATTTGTCAGGTGAAATGAAAATGAGCACATGATAAACATTTCTTACTTCAGCTTTCTTGGCTGTCATTGTAACCAGAAAGTATCATTTTGTATTTGAAGAAAACTTTTTTTCTGAATTATTTGTTGACCACAATCTTTATCATATTTAGCACACCTTTGAAATGAGATGTTTTAAGACCAACGCTTATCCTTTAAATACCAAATATTTTTATTTTTTGAACAGAAATAATTTTAAAACCTTTTAGTTTTCCTTCCCTAATAAGAGAGAACTTTAAGTATTTAACAAGAAGAATTTTGACAACTTATAAACTTTAAGAATTATGTGATGAGGTCAAGAACTTTTTTGCTCATGCCTCAAAAGTTTCAGATTAGCTGAGGATTTTACTACTTGTCCCTTCTTCTCTTAAAAAAATAAAAACTGTTGATTTTGAATTTTGAATTTTCACATCTTACTGCTGTCAGTGAGCTTTTTCTTCTACCTTTTAATATGCTTTTTTCATAACCACTTTAGTCTTGAACCCCCGCCCCCAAATGTTTGTAAATTATGTCAGCTTTCAGAGTAAATGGGTATCAAATGAATGCCATAAGTACTTTCTCTCCTGAAGGAAGTTTATACCTTTTTATACTTTATATTTTTGTTGCTTATTTCCTGAAGCAAAACCTTTTATTTCACTTCTACCAATTTGAGAAAACTCTTGTTACTTTGGAACATGTTACAGTTGAGGTTTTGAACAATTTTTTGTATGATTATACATGAATTGTAAATAATGATTATTTCATTTTGATATGCTAAACATTGTGGACAATTTTAAAATATTTTGTTTTAATGAAAGGCTGAAAAACAGTCAGCTAAGCTACAGGCTGAACGTTTGGAAAAAGAGCTACAATCAAGCAATGAACAAAATACTTTTTTAACCAGTAAATTGCATAAAGCTGACCGAGAAATAAATACATTGACCAGTAAGGTAAGTTGTCTTTTGTTTTTGTTTCACTCTTTAGAATGCCTGAGACTATATAATGATTTAGGGTTTCCTTGTTTGTTTGCTTTTTCCTATATGGGGGTTGAACTTAGGGTCCCATGCATGCCAGGCAAATGTTCTACCACTGAGCTTTATCCTCCCATCCCTTATTTTTTTTATTTATTTATTTTTTTTTAATTTTGAGACAGGGTCTTGCTAAGTTGCTCATGGTGGTCTTGAATTTGTGATTCTCCTTCTTCAACCTCTCAGTTTTAACTGGGCTTACAGTGTGTACCACTGAGCCTGCTAGAAATTTTGTTTGTTCTCTGTATTTCAATGTATTAAATAATGTCAATAATGTATGTAAATAATGTTTTTTCTCTATATTTTAAATCTTTTTTCATCATACCATTGACCGAAGATGTAAGTCATCTTATGCTTCTGTTTCATTAAGCTTTTTGCTGCACAATTACAAAGAAATTTTGTGTTTAGATGTTTATATGTTGAAACGATTTTTATCCTGTCATTCTATCTTCATACAGAATCTGACCAGTTCTTAAACCTCTACTGTGATTACTCTAGTCCAAACCATGAATTGTCCTATGCTCAGTTTTTATGCTAGCTTCCTAATTGCTCTCTTGCTACCCATGCAGATCTCTGTGTGATCTGGCTCCTGCACTCTTTCCACAGCCATTAGCATCCATTTTCTTCCCTGTTTACTTTACTTCTGCCTCACTGGCCTTCACGCTGTTCTTTGAAGATGCTCACTTCTACTCAGAGCCCTCATGCTTATGTGCCTGACATGGTCTCACCTCACATATCTACATACATACTTCTTCTTCTTTTTCAGAAGTCACTTGAGAATCTTTTCTCATATTTACTTTGTAAAACAAATGTATCTCCCCCCCCACTTATTCTCTCATCTCCCTAACTTGCTTTATTTTTTATTCATAGTTCTTAATACCATATTTACTGTTTTTAAAATCTCTTCTACTACTTTCTCTCTGAAACTTGAGTATTTTTCTTTAAAATGGAGTACCTACCATAAAAAAGTTGTGGCAAAAATTAAATGAAATATTATGAATAAAACACTTAGCCTAAGATCTAGCAAATAGTCTCTGAATTATTAATGGTTATTATTAACTGTTGGTGTATTTCTAAGAACTTGGAAATAAGATTGGTTTCTCAGTCAGTGAAATCATTGTATTTTCTGTAAGGACAGAGTTACATAAAGTCACCTTAAAAAACAAGATAGCTTTATCAACTAAAAGGCACGCCGTGTAGCTTGATAAACATGTATAAATTTAAAGGAATAATGTTTTCATTATAAATTGGCCAACGAATCTCTTGAGTAGATTCAAGGGAAGTGTATGTAACTGAAATAAAGAGTTTTAGTCAGCTGATTTTAAGTATTCTGGTCCCATTGAAAAGATTAAGAAGAATTAACAGTCTGTTTTAACCTGCGGCCATGAAATAGTCCATTCATCTCAATCTTTTTGTTCTTATCACCAAGCAACCTTTTGGCTGTTATTTGACTTCCCATATTATTTTGTCTACTGAGAATGTCCTAGTTCTTCAGACTTGAGTATTCTAGTTCTATTATACTTTCTTATAAACTGGCATTCTCGTTTTATATATTACTCTTTATGTGCTTTATTTATGTAAGTCTAACTTAAGCAGTTTTGGGGTTTCTTTGTTTTGTTTTTTAAAAATGTGCTGACAGATTTCGATTTCTGTGCCTGAAGGGCTAAAATTGTAATTTTAGATGGATTGGATGCCACCCTTGGGAGATAATCTACAGTTTTTCCCATGATAAACATATATACTTCTTCACTTGCAGATTATGTGTCTAATGACTGACTCTTCTACTTTTTGGTGAATTTCTGTACAGTTTACAAAGTAGTTTTATAGCCAGTATTTCATTTAAATTATTAGATTATAGCTGACACTACAAAAAACAAGTGAAAATTGTGCAAATAAGATTTTTACTTGTCTAAATATTTTAATTCCAAGTATAGTCTTCTAGATTATAGTTTGAAATTTACTATCATTTTGGAGCAGATAATAAAGTTCAGTGGAAAAGTTCATGGGCTTTGAATCAAATGAAATGTGATTTTGAATCCTGACTCATGTACTTTATATACTAACTTTCCAATTTGCTTAATTTTTTTAAAAAAAATTTATTTTTTTAGTTTTTGAGGTGGACACTAAATCTTTATTTTATTTTTATGTGGTGCTGAAGATCGATCCCAGTGCTTCATGAATGTTAAATGAACACTCTACCACTGAGCCACAACCCCAGCCCCTCCAGTTTGCTTAACTTTTAAATGGGATAATAACTATTTCTTACTAGATTATTGTGAAAAATTCAATACAATAAATAGTACATAGTGATAAACATGTTACTATCAATGATTGTGTATTTGTGATATCCTTAAATAAGAAAATACCGTGAAGAATATAGAATTCTGAGCCCATGGGCTAGTTCTGTTCCTCTGTCAATAACTTTGTAACTTTAGGCAAGTTACTTGGTATCATTTGGGATCCAATTTTCTCATAGGTGAAATGAAGCATTATTTCTGCTGATCCTTAAGAATCCTTAAGCCTATTGTGATTGTGTAGATCCTACTAGAAAATAAATTTGATTTCTTTCTGGTTAACTATAAGTGGACTTCATACATTCAGCAGATATATCCTGAATGCCTACAATAATAGAGTACATACAAAAATAGGGGTAACACACAGAGAAGTAAATTTAGATTATGTGGATTTGTCTCAAGTTTTCTTTCAATTTCTGTATAAGTTATTTTCAATTTTGTAAAATAATATTGAGTATCCAGTATTTGCTACATATCATTCTGGACCTAAGGAGCCAGACTGGACTGCTGGAATCACCAGAACTATATGTGTAGCAACAGGATGTTAGATATGCTGGACTTCTACTGTAGCTTTTAACTCTTTTGGGTCACTTTTCCTGCAGCACATTTTACCTGAGCTTGCTGGCTCACCTGTGTGCTGACCCTGGTTGTCTTCTCTTTTCTGTATATATACCCTCCTCTATTGCTCTTTCATTATAGAGTTAAGAGCATAGATGATTGCTCCTTCTTTGTTGAAGGAAGAACAGCAGTTTTAGTATAGTTTTATTTATTTTGCTGTGCTTGTTTATTAACACATATTGCTAAGAGTTGCCTGTCTTTAAAAGTACATTTGCATTATTTTGCATATAAATGGAGTTTTAAATACATCCTTCAAATTTAGACAAAGCAAGTTTCCTTTGAAATTTTATGTAAAAACGATTCCATGGAAGAATAAATTTTAAAATAATATTTCAAACATGACTATCACAGTTTTCTTTGCAACTTGAAATTTTCATCAACATTTTGCACTTGTAGCAAATGGTTGTTTGCAATGCTAAAGAACACCTGGGGTGTGTTTGTCAAAGTTATTCAAATTTGTAAATGTTAGGTTTTAAAACAGAATTTTATCAGTGTCTTAGATTAAAAGGTGTTAACATACATGGCCTGAAAATGATGACCTTAAAGATATTTCACATTCAGTGAAGTAAATGCATCTAGTTATCTCATTAGGTTTTTGATCTTGGAACTTCAATAAGATAGTTTTAAGGGAACCATCCTATCTATGGTCGTGCTTATTAGCCAAGTTAACTCAAACCTATTGCTTGACATCCTGTCTAATGTTCTTTCAGTTTCAATAAGTTTAGTTGAGAATGTTTTCTTATTTCAGCAAATCTCAGGGTGAAATGAATAAGAAATAAGTGTTTATTTCATAATTCTTCATGAAGTTACCATGAAATGAATTAATGCTCTATGAAATAAGATGGCTCTAATTTTCCACCTCATATTAAAGGTAGCTTTAATGTGGTTTATAATGAACTGCTGTGTCATTCTTAACCTTTTACAGTTAGTATATAATAGCAACTTATAATCATATTTGTCACAGTGATTGTATATTCATGGTAATTGTATTTTTTTAAAATTTTAAGCATTTATAACTTAAATTGTCCATGAAAATTATAATATAGTAAGACCCAATCACAGTGTCTTTAAATATTAAAATAAATATAATTAACTGCTTTCATGTAGTTATGAGACTTGCTTTTAATAGAAAAGAGCTTCAAATCTGAGATTTAAAAATGTAAAACTGATATCAGCATAGGTAGCCATTTTACCTTCACTTAAAAGTGGTCAATGTGTGTGATCACTTATCCGTGCATGTACTAAAATTGGAATGCTGCAGAGATTATCATGGCCCCTGCACAAGGAGGACACACAAATTCTAAAGTGTTCCATATTTTAAAGATGTAACAATGAACTTAGAAAATACAGGAAGTGAAAGATATTTCAATATAGAGATTCTGAAAAAGAACCAAACAAATTTTGAAAATTAAAGAATTGATAACTTCAGTGGAAAGCATTATCAATAGATTAAATGGCTTTGAAAACAGATTTTCAGGCCTTAGAGACAAATATATTATCTTGAAAATAAAGAAAGATGTTACTGGGCATGGTGGGTCATGCCTGTAGTTCCCGTAGCTCGGGAGGTTGAGACAGGAGGATCAAGAGTTAAAAACCAGATTTAGCAACTTAGTGAGGTGCTGAGCAACTCAGTGAGACTTGTCTCTAAATAAAATATATAAAAGGGCTGGGGATGTGGCTCAGTGGTTGTGTGCCTCTGCGTTCAATCCCCCATACTAAAAAAAGAGAAAAAAAGAAAGAAAAAGTTAAGAGACTATGACCAGAATATTCAAGAAATCTGGAGTAATGTTCAGAGACCAAATCTAAGAATCATTGGTGTAGACAAAGACACTAAAGTGCAAACTAAAGGAATGTAAAACGTATTCAATGAAATAATATCGGAGAAATTTCCAGACCTTAGTAATGAGATGGAAATTCAACTATAAGAGACATTTAGGACCCCAAATAAGCAAGACCAAAAAAGATCCTAAGAAGCATTATAATTAAAATTCCTGTTATAGAATAAGAATTTTTAAAGCCACAAGAGAAAATCAGCAGGTCACATTTATTAGTAAGCCAAATAGGATTTCAGTCAATTTCTCAGCCCAGATCCTAAAAGCCAGGACAACTTGGAATAGTATATACGAAGTCATAAAAGAAAACAGGTGTCAATAAAGATTACCATATCCAGCAAAACTGTCCTTCAGAATCGAAGTGAAATAAAAACCTTCCAAGACAAGCAGAATCCAAAAGAACTTAGAATCACTAAAGCTTCACTATAAAACAAACTCAATGAACTATTTGATGAAGAATAAATGAGGAATAAAAACGAGAGTGAGCACAGGGATGAATCTCATTAGAATAGTCAAGGGAGAATCAAGTCTGAATTAAGCATTAAAAATAAAATGGCAGGAAATAAAAATCTCCTCTGTAATAACACTGAATATAAATGGTCTAAATTCTCCTATCAAAAGACATACCTTGGCAAAATGGATTAAAAACAGAAGACCCAACAATATATTGTTTACAAGAGATTCAACTTGGGCTGGAGATGTGGCTCAAGCGGTAGCGCGCTCGCCTGGCATGCGTGCGACCCGGGTTCGATCCTCAGCACCACATACCAACAAGATGTTGTGTCCGCTGAGAACTGAAAAATAAATATTAAAAATTCTCTCTCTCTCTCTCTCTCTCCTCTCTCACTCTCTCTTAAAAAAATGTGTGTACTGAATATCTCAACTTTAATATATTTGCAAAAAAAAAAAAAAAAAAGAGATTCAACTTAACATGCAAAGACATCCATTGGCAGAAGGGAAAGGATGAAAAAGGATATACCATGAAATTGGAGACCAAAAGCCAACTGAATTAGCTACTCTTCATATCAGACAAAGTAGATTTTAAGCCAGTATTAATCATAAGAGACAAAAGAAGGGCAATGTATGCTGTTTAATGGAATCATCCAACAATAAGATAAAATGGTTGTAAATATTTGGGCCCCAAACATCAGTGGACCTACGTACATAAAACAAACTCTTCTCGATATAAAGAATCAAATAGACTGCAATACAGTAATGCTGGGTGATTTTACCACACTTCTCTTACCATTAGTTAGATCATCCATACAAAAACTAAGACTCTTCAGAATTAAAAAATACTGTTATTCAAATAGACCAAACAGACATCTATAGAATATTTCACCCACTTCTCAGCAGCATGTGGAACTTTCTCTAAAATAGATCATATTTAATAAATACAAAAAAAGAGATAATGCCTTGATTTCTATCAGATTATAATAGAATGAAATTAGAAATCAGTAAGAAAAAAACATCATTTTAATACCAGAAGATTACATAATATACTTTAAAAAAACGTTTTTAGTTGTAGACGGACACAATAACTTTTAAAAATTTATTTATTTTTATGTGATGCTAAGTATCGAACCCAGTGCCTCATACATGCTAGGCAAGGGTTCTACTGTTGAGCTACAACCTTAGCCCACAGGATAAAATTTTGAATGAATAATGGATCATAGAAAGAAATCGGGAGAAATAAAAAAATTCTTAGAAACAAATTGTTATGGGGCTGGCATCTTCCGAGAAACTGAGGCAATTCAAAGACTCTCTTTTAAGCCCAGATTTCTTGTAACCAAGTTAGATTTCAGACATGTCACTCAGAGTAACAGGAATGAATTTATTGAAGGGATAGGAAAAGGGAAAGGGTATACTCTCAAGGGAGAGAATGGGTCCTCTCAGAAAGGAGAGGGACAATGTATCTTTCCTGCACTCTGGTTTTATTGGAGATCCCAAAGATTCCTGCCCAGGTCCACATCTTGACTTTTCACTGATAACAGGGTGATATCAGACTTCAGAGTCCCCACTGCCATGGCAACTCTGTCACCTTGGCCCATGCTGACTGATTCTAATTGCAATCTTAGTCATTTTTACAGGTTTTATGGTTAGGAAGAATTATCCTTATCTTTTGGGATCTGGTCTGTGAAAAGGATTACAAACATCTTTCCCTTCAAAGTAACTTGGGTTTCTCTTATCAGCATTATTTCCTGCCTGCATGTCCTTGCAGATTACAGGTAGTTTGCTGAGGAACCTGACCTGTCCTGTCTGCTTAGGCCAGGCAGGCTGAGATACATTGCTTTTAAGCAAAGAAAGTTTGTGGGGGTCCGCATAGTGGGCCCATTTTATAGAATTATTCTCTTAACCTTGTGTTCCCAACAGCCTCATCTGTCTATTCTCTAACAAAATGAGAATAGAGATGCAATGTATCAAAATCTCTGGGACAGTAGGTAAGAAGTTTTAAGTGGAAAATTTATAGTCTTTAGTTTCTACATTTAAAAAATAGATTTTATTCTCTATTTATTGCTGAGTAATATTCCATTGTGTGTGTATGTGTGTATATATATATATATACACACACACCACATTTTCTTTATCCATTCATCTACTGAACGGCATCCAGGTTGGTTCCACAGTTTAGCTATTGTGAATTGTGCTGCTATAAACATTGATGTGTCTGTGTCCCTGTATTACGTTGTTTTAAAGTCATTTGGGTATAGACTGGGGAGAGGGATAGCTGGGTCAAATGGTGGTTCCATTCCCAGCTTTCCAAGGAACTGCCATACTGCTTACCATACTGGCTTCCACAATTTGAAGTCCTACCAGCAAGGTATGAGTATGTTTCTTCCCTCACATCCTCACCAACATTTATTATTGTTTTTGTTCTTAATAGCTGCCATTCTGGCTGGAGTGAGATGAAATCTTAAAGAGTAGTTTTGATTTGCATTTCTCTAATTGCTAGGGATGTTGAACATTTTTTCATATATTTGTTGATTGATTGTATATCATTTTCTGAGAGGTGTCTGTTAAATGGATGGAGTTGGAGAATATAATGCTTAGTGAAGTTAGCCAGTCTCCCAAAACCAAATGCCAAATGTTTTCTCTGATGTAAGGAGGCTGATTCATAATGGAATTGGGAGGGGGGAGTATGGGAGGATTATACGAACTCTAGATAGGGAAAAGGGTTGAAAGGGGAAGGGGGCATGGGGGTAAAAAAGATGATTGAATGAGATGGATATCATTACATGTATGAAGACACGAATGGTGTGAATACTTTGTATACAACAGAGATATGAAAAATTGTGCTCAATATGTGTAATAGGAATGTGTAATGCATTCTGCTGTCATATATAACAAAGTAGAAAAAAATAGAACCAGAAAAAAAACCAGAACCATTTAATAATCTGATGTTATACCTAAGGCCTTAGAACAATAAACTATTTCCAAAGAACAATAAACTATTTCCAAAATCAATAGAAGAGAAGAAATAAGATCAAAGTTGAAATTATTGAAATTGATGTAACCAAGAGTTGGTTCTTCAAAAAGATAAACAAAATTGATAGATAAACCCTTAGCCAAACTAACCAAAAGAGAGAAGACCCAAATCAGAAAAATTACTGTTGAAATAGGAGATATTACCACATTTCTGAAAGAAATCCAGAGGGTCATTAGTTTATTTTGAAAATGTATACTCCAGTAAGCTGAAAAATCAAGACATTGAAAAATTACCAGATACATATGATCTACCCAAAATGAATCATGATGATTATAGAAAATTTTGCAACTACTATAAAATGTCGGCTCAACTCTCACATATTGGTGCAGGCACTGACTTCCTGAACAAGACCCCTAAAGTACGAGAAGTAAATTGAGAATCAAAAGTGGGCCAGTATCAAATTAAAAAGCTTCTGTACCACAGAGGAAATGAGCCCACAGAATGGGAGATCTTTGCCAGCTGCTCCTCCATCAAGGGATTAATGTCCAGAATATATAAAGAATTTTAAAAACTTAATACCACAAAACCAAATAATCCAGTTAGTAATGGACAAAATAAACAGATATTTCTCAAAGAAATAAAATGGCCAACAAACACATGAAAAATATTCAACATCACTAGTAATCAGAGAAATGCAAATCAAACCTACACCAAGATTTTATCTCCAGTCAAAATTGCAATCATCAAGAATACCCACTTCAATCTAATGTATGAAATATGATATGTCAAGAGCTTTGTAATGTTGTGAACAACCAAAAAATAAAAAATAAAAATAAGAAAAAAAAAAGAATACAAATTATAATAAGTACTGGTGAAGATGTGGGGAGAATAGGTACATTCATGAACATTGTTGTATAAATTCATACAACCACTCCAGAAAGCAGTGTGGAGATGCCTCAAAAAATAGGAATAGAACCCCTATATGACCCATCTATCCCATTCATCAGTATATATCCAAAGAACTAAAATCAGCATGCTATAGAGAGATAGGTACATCATTTGTTTATAGCAGTGTATCTCAGAATAGTCAAGTTAAGGAACCACCCAGGTGTCCATCAACACATGCTGGTAAATGAGTGGAAATGGAGAATATGCTAAATAAAATGAGATTCAGAAATTTCATCATCAAATGTTTTCTCTCATGCAGAAGCTAGACCAAAATAAGGTGGGGAGGTGGGTGGAAGTGAGGAATCTTATGAAAATAGGAGAGAGTTCACTGGAGCAGAGGAAGGGGATTGAAGGGAAGTGGGGAGGGAAAGAAGATGAAAGGAATTGTAGAATGAAATTGTCCAAATTATGCTATGCATATGTGTGAATATACCATAGTTTTATGGGTGTCTATAAAACACTAATTTAAAAAAACTGAATTAATGGAAGGAATGCCAGTAGAGAAAGGGAACAGGGGGATGGATGGAGGAGGGGAGAAAAAATGGGAAGTACCTGAAACCTAAGTGAAGCAAAGTATATTCCACATTTGTATTATGTATAGCTATAATACACTAATAAAAATGCATACAAGATAATTTGAAAGGCTCTATTATTGTGATTAGTGGTATGAAGACAGTATGATACTTGGTTTTTATTTATTTTCTTCAGATATGGATTTTGTGTGAAACCTATTCTTTTCAGTATTTTCAGGACCTTTCATAGATGGAATTCCTTCCAATAAAGACACTTCTGTTTCTTATTCCTTTCTTTTTGGCTCTAGAGCCTCTTCCAGATTTGTATCTAATTCCCAACTTTTTATTGTAGGGTTTTATTGGATTCATAAGTAAATTGTCCTTGACCTTCCTTTTCTTACCATCTCACATTTTATATATTTGACTTTTATGTATTTGTAGTTTTCTACTTTGATCTCACAGTTTACTTATTAGTATAATAATATTGGTTTATCTAAATTTTATATCTGTGTTAAATTCTAACACCACTATTCCTAATTTTAGAAATGCCTTAAAAGGTAGAGGCTACAGAAACTGTTAATAGTGCAGATGATTGGAAAGAGAAAGATTATTGTTGTACTCCCGCTTCTAAAATAGTGCCTGACACACAAACAGTTGTTCAGTAAAGATTTGTTGAATGAATGAATGAATGAATGAATATTTGTGAAGATTAATTATTTAGAAAGTGTCAACAATTATTCATATTGAGCTGAGGCTTTAAAATATTTAGATTTGGGGAGTCTGGAGCTCTAGCCCCTGGGGATAAAATAAAGATAGAACACTTGCCTAGCACACATGAGGCCCTGGGTTTTATACCCAGTACCACAAATAAGAAATAACTAAAAAAAAGAAAATTTTGATAATATAGGATTATAGTAGATTTGTATGATTTATACTGGTTTCTGCCCACTATTTAGTCACTGAATTCAAATGTTTTTTCGCCCCTTTTATCAGTTTCTTACCACTTGTTTATGTTCAGTTTTTTAATCTAAGACATTTGCAATTAGAGTTTACCATTCTAAAACAAAGTTACTTATGCTGCTTTCAGTAGCCAACAGAATAAACAGCCCTTTTGTATGACATATGAAGTTTATTCCCTGTCACTCACAAAAAACCTGCCTCCCTCTTCTCTATATGTCACATCTTGTTTTTAGAGTAGATTACTTGGTGTCATACCTATTTCACAGTTTATATTTTATTCCTTCCACCTGGAAGGCCTTATTTCTCCTTAATGTTTTTTTTTTAATATTCAGTTTTTAGTTGTAGTTGGACACAATACCTTTATTTTATTTATATGTGATGCTGTGGATCGAACCCAGGGCCTTGCACGTGCTAGGTGAATGCTCCACCACTGAGTCACAACCCCAGCCCCCCCCTTAATGCTTTTTTAAAAAAACATTTTTTTAGTAGTAGTTTTATTTACATGCAGTGCTGAGAATGGAACCCAGTGCCTCACATGCTTAAGCAAGCGCTCTACCATTGAGCCACAACCCCAGTCGTCCAATACTTTTTAAAAGGAAGTTTGATGTATGTGGTTAAACTTTTTAAGGCACATGTCCTGATTTATGTCCAGGTGACCCCACCCCGATACTTTTAAAGAAATGCTCACTTTCAGTAGGAAAAACAGTGTTCTTGTCTCCTCATTACAAATAGTATTCAAGTATGGAATACCTTTCTTCCTGGATGGTACTTGCACTCTATAATCTGCTGCCAATTTTTTTTTTCATTTACACTTGCTTTTTGGTGAGTACTAAATGGGAATAAAATGACCAATAATAACTTCAATTTCTAATTATCAACAGGTAAAAGAACTTAAACATTCAAACAAACTAGAAATAACAGACATCAAACTGGAGGCAGCAAGAGCTAAAAGTGAGCTAGAAAGAGAAAAGAATAAGATTCAAAGTGAATTGGACGGTAATATATGATTCCCCATGCTTTTTACTAGTTTTTCAGACATGAACTCAAATTGTTAATATAGATAAACCTTAATGATTATTTCCAGATTCTCAGATTAATTGGATTTCAACCTTTAAAAGATATGGAATGTTATTGCAAGTATGTTGACTGCTCATTCTTTGACCTGACTTAAAAAAAAATTGATCATGTGTTGGTATAAGTTATTTGATTAATGTATAAACTAAATAAAACTTTGAAAATGGGATTCTATCTTTTAAAATTATATCTTTATAATTTTAAATCTATTTTGTCATATTATTTTCCGAGGGCATTATAAGTCTAAGACCATAAGGAAGAAAGTTCTAATCCTGGATTTTTTATTTTTTATTTTTTTAAACACTAGGTCAGTTATTGAAGCCTAGTTCAGTGTAGTCTTGTTCTTATGGTCCATTCTAATATTCACATGACTCATCAGGATTTCTCAGAATTTGTATGGCTTCTAATTCTGTTTCTTTTTCTTTTTTAGTTGTAAAATGGACACAACACCTTTATTTTTTTATTTTTATGTGGTGCTGAGAATTGAACCCAGTGCCTCACACGTGCTAGGCAAGCACTCTACCACTGAGTTACAACCCCAGCCATGGCTTCTAATCTTAGATTTTTTTCAAATAAGCTGCCCTTGGGGTGTAACTGTGCTTGAGTTGGTCTGTAATTTCAGATGGAGGTTAGATTGAATGCCTATTTTCATTATTAGTTTCTATGTAATTTTGACTTATGATTTTCCTCATTTAAACTAAATTTTCTTAGAAATTTAGATTTGAGGATTCTGGTTTTACTTTAAATTAGATAGGAATTTGCTTTAGTTATTCCATGTATAAATATTGTCTGTTCATCAAGAGGAAGATTTGAAATTCATTGGACAAACTTGAAACTTTCCTTGTTTTTTATATTTCTGCTAGACTCTAGCAATTTTGCTGTAATCTTAGGTTTGAAGGACTTTGTGACTTTTATTTGCTCTGTTTTCAGCCATTTTGTTATGATGCTGTCTTAGGTTAGTTTACAGAAGTCCTTCAGAGGTGAAATAACCAAGTGTCTCTGTATATCACACAGGTTGATGATATTTCTAGGTTTAAAAATTCAAGTGAATAAATGTTTATTTACCCTTTTGAAAGTTTTTTTTTTGTATGTATGCATGTGTTAAGAAGTAATGGCAGAGAATAAACTCTGAGTTTTAGTCTGTTTCATTCTTATTTTTAGAAAGTTTATCAGTGGCTTAAGGATCTTTGAGAATGTATATCCAGAGAGACTTTCTAATTCTTTTACTCACTTATGAAGGCTATTAATTGTGATTTTTCATCATCGCAATATTAACTATAGTATATTTTTCTCTTTGAAAAATAATAGGATTACAGTCAGACAATGAAATCCTCAAATCAGCTGTTGAATACCACAAAGTGCTATTAGTAGAAAAGGATCGTGAATTAATACGTAAAGTACAAGCTGCCAAGGAAGAAGGTTATCAAAAACTCGTAGTATTACAAGGTGAAAAGTAAGTGCTTAATTACCTTAGTTTGTATTAAATCTTCTTGCACATGGAAACATTTTACTGTAGCATCATCTTTATTGTAGTTCTTGTAACATAATTATCATCTGTTGTTTTAGGCTAGAACTTGAGAACAGATTAGCAGATTTGGAGAAAATGAAATTGGAACATGATGTCTGGAGGCAATCTGAAAAGGATCAGTGTGAAGAGAAATTGCGGGCATCACAGATGGCAGAAGAATCGGCCAGAAGGGAACTTCAGAGTATCAGGTTATGTATACATGTATATTTTTAATTTTTAATTTTGAAATAGTTTCAGAGATAACAAAATGAGGTAAAAATGGCCCAGAGATTTCCCATGCACACCTCACCTTGATTCCCCAAGTATTAACATCTTATGTAACCATGATACAGGGGTCAAAACAAATTAACAATATAATCCAGAAATCAAATGTTAGTATTATCAAAAATGTTGGCTTTATTTAAATTTTACCAGTTGTTTCTTTGTGTCTTTTATCTGGTTCAGAATCAATTCCATACATTGCCTTTATGTAATTTCCTTTAATCTGGAACACATTAACACTTTAGTAGAGTGCTTGTTAGTATTTTACACATTGTCTCTCAATTTGGGTTTGTAATACACCTTTAATTTTTTTTAGTTGTAGATGGACAGAATAACTTTATCTATCTATCTATCTATCTATCTATCTATCTATCTATCTATCTATCTATCTATCTATTTATTTTTATGTGATGCTGAGGATTGAACTCAGTGCCTCACATGTGTGAGGCAAGCACTCTACTACTGAGCTATACCCCCAACCCCTTGTAATACATTGTTTATGAATAAATTCAGGTTATGTATTTTAAATCAAAATTGCACCAAAGTCATGTATCCTCAGTGCACGTATAAGGAAGTTTTTGATTTATCTTCTTTACTGATTATGTTCACCTTGACCATGTAGTTATCATAGTGTCTGTCAGATTTTTCTTCGATATAATTAGTGTTTTTCCCCTCTGTAATATATAATCATAAGATTTCTCATATAATTTTTTGAGACTATTTAAATATTCTCATTGTACTTTCTCTTCAAACATTATTTTATTAATTTTAGCATCCTAACATTACTTTAATATCTGCTAAAGAAGTTACAAATATGAAGAGAGAAAATCTAGAATAAACTCCATGGTGTTGGGGTAGAATTGGAAATATCAATGTAAATTCATGATTATTAATATATATACATATAGAAAAATAAAGAAATGGATGTAATGTGATTTGAGCATACATAAATAAATCTCATCACTCAGTTCACTGAAAGGGCCTAGAAGCAAAGATTCTCTAGTACCAACAAGCACTCTTATTAGATTAGCTGAGATTTCATTTTCCTATGCCAGCCTCCAATATAAAAATAGCCTCAGAGAAATGGCTAGTAATAGGGCTAGAGAAAAGAAAGTGAAAGGGAAACCTAGAATATCCTGTGATATCAGACAATAAGGAGAACCTCAAAAGTTGGGATTATATCAAAAGGACATAGAATTCAACTTGAAAAAAGTCTCCAATTGCCAATTATATAACCCATAGAGGAAAATAAGAATCTGTTAGTCCATACTAGTATAGATATAATATTTAGAGGAGAAGGGAGAAGCTCTTCCTTTCAAATTCCAACTAATAAATGTAGAAAGAATGATGAAAACAATTTAGCAGATATTAAAGTAATGTTTTCTTTATGGTATAATATATCGAGACCACAACTAGGATAAGACAAAATGAATAGCCCAGGATGTAAAATTTAAGGAGTCATTCACTTCCGTGTTCCAGTGTTACACTTATAGGATCCAGGTAACAAGGACTTATATTTTCCACTTGGACCTTCCAGTGTTTGGTGGGTTATTAAAAGCAGGATAAAAAAACTTGACACTTCTGCCTCCATTTTGCATTTATCTGTTTTGCTCTGTGTCACCTTGGATTCCAGGAGCAACATGTCTAATACATAAACATCTTGTATGAGTATAAACTATCCCTTGGGGCAATAGCAGCTTTCTTATCTATTATGAGCAGGGTCCCCTTTTCTGAGTCAGAGATAATGATTAACCACAGTTTGATGAAGACTGTTTGACTGTTCCTATAACTGGACCCCCTTGCCTTTATAATTGGAAGCTCATGTCAGTAACACCATAGACAGAGGTAAGGAAGTAGGTCTCCTTGTCTTCCTGGAATAGCTATAATGATTAAAGCTCCTTTCTTGCACTTGCCATTGCTCTTTCAGTGTGGTTTTTGGTGCAAGTGGCTGGATCTCATTTGCTGGTATTACTAGAGTCAAGCCTCTGGTACAGGATTCTGTTAACAGTCTCAGAGTGAGTATCTCAAATTTCATACTCTGAGCATTTCACTTGCCTTACTCTAGTCTTATTGCTGTAGTATATGATCAATTTTTATGAGTGTTACATAGCATATGGAAAGAAAGAGTACAGGAGGTTATATTACATGCTGACAGATAAGTTGAAAATGTCTTTAATATACCTAATAACAGGGCTGGGGTTGTGGCTTAGTAGTAGAGTGCTCACCTAGCACACGTGAGGCACTGGGTTTGATCTTCAGCACCACATAAAAATTAAATGAAGATATTGTGTCCACCTACAACTAAAAAATAAATATCTAAAAATATATATACCTAATAACCATACACTGCAGAGTATTAGTTTGTTTACCCTTGTGATCCCATGGCAAACTAGGACCTATAGCTTGCTGCCCCTGAGCAAACATTGTGAGAAAGTATCTTTCATTATATATTGCTAGGCTGGGAAAAGATCAAAATTCAAAATTTAAAGTACAGGTTCTACAAATTGCATATAGCTTTTACACTGTTGTGCATTTGAAAAATTCTAAGTTAAAATCATTTTAATAACAGGAACCAACTGTTATTATTTCCATTTGCTTGGTATAACTTTGTCCTCTGTTTCTAAATTTTCTGAATCATTTTGTTTTTTAAATATGTATTTTCTATATAGCATATAGTCTGGTCTTGCTTTGTGAGCCAAATGGGAGATTTTTTTTTATTTTAATGGGTGAGTTAAGACCATTCATATGCAGTGAACACTTGCTGGGTTTTGATATCCCTTACACCCCCCTGCCTTTTTACTTATATAGTTGTTTTGAAATTTGGGCATTTTCTGTCTTCCATTTATGCTAAGGGGTGGTTCTGTATGACTTTATTTGTTTTCCTATCTTTTCTGAATTATTTTTGTAAAATAAATGGATAATAGAGCTAGAGCATCTGTCCTTATTTTTATTACCTTCCCTTTGTCTTTTAATTCTAAAATCTTAATGACTTTGCTAATTATATAAATTAAAGTTGAATAACTGTCATGAGCTGTGTATGGACTGTGTTGTGCATAGTAGCCTCAAAAGGGGATAAGTCTGGAATTGGGAACTTCCTGTGACACCCACCACAGGGATTGACCACCTGATGCAAGTGAACTTTCCTCTCAAGCTCTGCCAAAGATCCAACCCAGCACTTGAGTGTGACCTGAGAAGATGACAATCAACCTGCATGACTCTGCCTTTGAAACCTTATTCCTGCCTTTCCTGTTCCCCCTTAAATAAACCACCAGAGCCATATTTTCTTTGTTTAGTTACAGAGACCATATGGATTAGATCTATCAGAGGCTTCACATTTGTAAATATATTTCTGAATATTTGTGTTTTGTTATTCACTAATTATTTGAGACTTAAGTTTTAAGGTGGCTTCCATTCTCCCTGGCAGGAAGAACTCCCCAATGAGACGCTGGCCATTGTCCCTATTAAGTGATTTTTAAAAATCATACTTATTAAGTTTTTGGTTATATTTTGAGGCAAATTTCTTGATCCACATTACTTAAGAAAAAACCACTTCAGGCAGTGGTGTATCAATTACTTATGTTGGGTTTAATTCGAATCGTTGTTGGCTTCCATTCTAGAATCATAAATCTGTAATGTATTTGAGAGTTAATCTTGCCTACCCCTTCACTTTTAGGTAGGTATATTATTTAACTATTCAGGACAGATTGTTTTTAAATTTCCACCCTCCCCAAGAACCCCACTCTAATATTTTACCTCATCATGGTTGCACAATTTGGCCATTTAGAATCATTTCTGTTTCTTCTGCTTTGCATTTCTGTTGCTATAGTGATATAATGTTCAGCATTTTGTCATTGCTTGAAAACAATAGTGGACTTTATTCTTTTGTTTTTTGGGCTTTTAAAAATGTAGCTGGGTGTGGTAGTGAACAACTATAATCCTAACCACTTGAGAAACTGACATAGGAGAATTGCAAGTTTGATGCCAACTGGAAAATTTAGGGAGACAGTTTAAAATAAACAAAGGCCTGGAGATATATAGCTAAGTGACAAAGTGCTTGCCTAACATGTTCGAGACTTTGGGTTCGATCCCCAGTATTGCCCCTTGGCCAAAATATATGTATATGTAAAACAGCTTTCATTCCTTAACTTTTCTTTAATATGGTATTTTCTGTTAGTCACTTTGATAATTTATCTTTGATTCCTTTTTATTTTCTACAGATCATTTATACATATAATATGTAAATGATCCCCAACATAAGGACATAGTAACCAATATAAAATCTAGCAGTAGTAATTTACAAGATTTGCCTGAGTTTAAAAATTAAAAAATTCTACAATCATGGTGTTTCTTCCATAGTAGTTCTGATTTGATTATTTATAAATCATTCATTAAAATAATCATAATAGCTGGGCATGGTGGTGCACACCTGTAATCCCAGCAATTTGGAGGGGGAGGCAGGAGGATTGCAGGTTTAAGGCTAGCCTCAGAAATTTAGCAAGACCTCATCTACTTAACAACACTCTGTCTAAAAATAAAAAGGACTGGGGGTGTGGCTCAGTGGAAAAGCACACCTGGGTTCAATTTCTAGTGCCAAAGTATTAATCATAATTGTATCACTTGGAGTCTGATTGGTCAGAGACTGTGAACCAAAGATCTTGCTAAGGAAATGAAAAGTATAAATAATATGAAGCGGGGTATCCTTTTACTCACAATTAACAATATCTATGATAAGTAGATATTCTAAAGCAATGATTAACATATTAGTTATATACTAGTCTTTTGTTTACCTAAGTGGTTTCTTCACCATTAGCCTATTATAACAACTTATTATAAAAATAATAAATTTATTTTTACAAAAATACTTTGTATTTCATAAGGATGCTTCACTGTACTTTTTTTTCATTTTGTGAAGTTTGTAAATTTATCT